TTTTTTTTTTTTTTTTTTTTTTTTTTTTTTTTCTGGTCATCTTACTCTAGTGAAAGATTCTTTCAATCACTATAATTAGCCTACTAATTGACTCTGGATTTTTACCCAAATCTTAGGTATAAAGGAAGTGTATTATGGCTGTTCAAATGATAAATTTGGAGGATGTGGATCAATTTTGTCCTTGCATTCAAGTGACTCTGAGACACTCATCAGGTTTATTTCTGAACTCTCATGGCATGAAAATTCTAATTGATTGTTCCATCTAATGCCTTCATTTTGGTCCTTCTCAAACTGAATTTCATCTTCTTGATGTTTTAAAACACAACGATAATATCAAAAAGTAAATCTGCATATAGACCAATGAGTAAGCAACTAACGCAGCAAATTAACATTTATCAAATGTTTAAAAGAATAACCAACATCCCTCAATCATTTCTTTCAGGACAGAATGATAACAACATCTCAAGTCTAAAATTATGAGGGGGTATATCTTTCATTTTCTGTGGAATATTGTTTGCGGGATGACTGCCACTACTGCCCAGCCTTGAATATTGAAACATGTCCTAGGCCCCTAGCTTATCCTTAATCTATGATTTCTTTTCTTCTTTTATTTAGTTTTAAATAAATTTGACCATTTGGTATTTTCATGGCATTATCCAACTTTCAAAATATGATGAATCTTGATGGTAAATAAGACTCTTTCTATTCATCACTTCATTGATTTATTAATACATTGTGCTATTCAGGCAAATTAGTTGTGCCTAACTTTTTCTATTCTGCAGTGGTAATCCGCAAAAGAAGGGTTTCAAATGTACTGGAGGATTAATGGCTTCTGAAGCAATCTCTCTTTTGCGAAGTTTCTATGAACAGGGTAACCCCAATGGTATGTAACCATGTAGTAAAATTTAAAGTTGAATTTTGCTTACTTCCAACTAACATGAGCTATAGGTTATTAGCTTCAGAACATTGTTCTATCAACAATATATTATGTTATTGGAACAGATCATTCTAATAACGTATTAACTGCAAATTCTAGTCTTGTTTGCTTGGGTTGGGATGAGCTGTGTAGCAGGAGGAAAAGTTGAACTATTTGTGTGACTTCTTCACAGGCAGACTCGTTTAACTTCCTGCTTTCTATATTCTGGTGTATTTCAGCTCCGAAATCCCACCGGCCTCTGGTTCAAAAGGCAGCAGATTGAAATGTGCATATATTTGGTTTTGTTTGGAAGGCCTCTGGTTGTCAGACCGTGGTTTTGCCTTCAGCATTGATTTTTGTATCTTCTTTATTTATTTTTATTTTTATTATTTTGCATTCTGGTAGGTAGCCTAGAAACTCAGGATTAACAATGTACGAAAAAAACTAAAAGAATGATGATTGGAAGAAGTTCCAATGTCTATTTGTATCAAGCACTGTGTATTATCAGGCTACAATTACTGCATTTTTATGATAAATTCAGGTATTTTCAAAAATTTTATGGATGATACTCTGTGTGTGGTTGTCCAAGTTTCATGAATTATTCATTCAGTGCCAAGGCTGATGATAAACTGAATGGGGTGGTAAGATCCACAAACAATGTGAAAATGATGGGTGAGAATGCATGGAAAAGATATTTCATTTTTCAGAGGAGATGGAGATAAGACTAGAGCACCATGTATACTTTGATGGCCATGTGATGAAAGAGGTGCTTATATTTGCATCGACGATTCAAGTCCCTCATTCCTGATTCCCTGGCCCTAGATGACCCAGGCTAGACTAGAAATTCTGGTAAAGAACAATGTACTGCATGTTAAATCTGACTTGTCCTGGTTTTTTATCAGACAAGTAAATTGGATTCCATGTGCCTTGAGATCATTTTGCTTATATATAGCAACAAACATACACTGGCTTGGGTTTTCTTTTGTCAAGGTGATGATAAGTTATATAATATGAGATATTCCTATCATTTTTTGAAACCCTCCCATACACTCCAAGGTTAAAATTTGAAAATTCAATTTTGAAGTCTTGAATTAAAACCATTGGTCTATCAATACATAAATCCTGAGAAAAACTAATTTCACTTTACCATATATGGGCACCCCCACTACATATCAAAATTAAAGAAAACTAGTGCTAAGGTAGCAAGTGGTGAAGTTATTACAATTTCTTGTTAATACTGTTTAGTCATTATTAGGTAACTAAGATCAAAGATTCAAACACTAAAATTGTTATTAAGTTGTCAAGACTAAAGATTTAAACATTTATAGGATATACAAACAATCACCAACATATACATCTAAAACTGAAAGCAATCCCCAAAATTGAATAGCCTTAAAAGGAATTGATATTGTCACTAAATTTAATGCTGGGAGAGCAAAAAGGACAAGAACAGCATGTTTTTATACATCAAGAACCTATGAATTAGAATTATGAGATTTTTCTTTCTTTCTTTCTTTCTTTCTTTCTTTCTTTTTCTTGCAAATAATGTCCCAAAGATTTGAACATGGGCTCAATATAGTGTCAAGAAAACAAATTGTCACATAATATTTTTAATATTAATAAGTCATTTCAAATGGAAAATTAGTAGTTATATAACCTATAAATAAAATGAAAACAAAACAAAAAATATGAATTAACTTGAAATAACCGGTGTCTTTTGGGCAGGGCCAGACTATTCCAAAACTGAAATATAAAATGACTGGAGAACAATAGGACTGAGAGACACACAGAGTATTAAGGGAAGAGGGAAAGATTTCAACTTTCTTAGAGAGGGAGAGAAAAGGAGAAGCGGATTGTGTGTGGGCATTTGAAATTCGTTGGCATAGTATTCAACTCTAGCGTTTTTGTCAAAAAAACTAACCACTTTGTTTGTTAGACAGATAAAGGGAGACGGTGCTGCTTCTGGGTCCTCAAGGTTCTATCAATGCAACAACTCTTGAGGTGATTTCTTGATTCTTGAACGTTTAGGGATGAGTTTTGTGATTTTCTTTAACTTTCTTGATTCTCTAACCAGTAATTGAATTGGTTTGAAGCGTTTTATGGGTTTCTGGTTGTGGTTTATGTCTGTATTTGTTCTAGGGTTTCATGAATTAGAAAATTTGGTTGCATGTGATTTTGCTTCTCATGTTATGGTGTTGATTGACTTCTTGGTTCAGAACTTTAGTGGATGAACGGAAATCCATGAGATAGTTTAACTTTTCTCTGTATAGGACATGAAAATTGCAGGTAAGTTTTTGTTTTAGGATTTATAAATTAGCAAATTAGATTGCATGTGATTTTGCTTCCCTTGAAATGTTTTTAATTAACCTCTTGGTTTAGAACGTTGGTGGATAAAGTGAAACCCATTAAAAGAATTTAAGTTTTCTCCACTTATTTAACCACTGAAGAATAAATGGTATCATTTTTTTCTCTTTTGGAAAATTAATCTTTTTGGTTTGGTCTGGCTGATTAAAACTTAAATCTGGAATTCTAATTACCTTTAGTTTTTCTTG